ATTTGAGACGTATAGATAGTGAACAAAAGGGGACCCAATGTAGAGCCCTGCGGCACACCAGACCTCAATACGGCAGGATCCGACACATCATTATCAATAACCACATACTGACTTCTCCCGCACAGATAATTATTAAAAAAATTTAAGGCTGTATTATTGAACCCAATATAATGAAGAATTGCTAAGAGAAGTTGATGATTAATAGTGTCAAACGCTTTAGAGAAGTCAAGTAAAACCAAAACAGTAGCCGCGCCATTGTCCGTTGCAGACATAACATCATCAATAATTGTCGAAAGTGCGGTTGCACAACTATACCCAGGCCTAAATCCTGATTGGATGGAGGGCAGAATATGAAACCGTTCCAAGTGCTCACGTATTTGTTCCGCCACAACCCTTTCCAAAATTCCCGACAAAGTACTTAAGATACTAATTGGCCTCACATCCGAGAAGGAAGAAGCAGTCGATGACTTAGGTATAGGAACAACTTTGGCAGATTTCCATTTCTCAGGAAAGACACCAAACTCTAAATAAAGTTAATTACATGCAGGAGGTAGGGAGTTATGTGTGGACAACAGAAACCCAAGATCCTAAGGCTTATACCACCAATCCCCACCACTTCACTCGACATCTTCGTCAAGATAATATTGATCTTAGATTCATTTACTTTTTGGAAAAAGAAATTTTTCACACCAGGTCTGACATTATTAGCATAAAAGTTGTGCACGTCCGGGTCGACCTCCGCAGATCGTCCCGAAATCGAAGAAAAGTACCCATTCAAAGCTTCAACATCTCTCAGACTCGTCGGTAGGCGAGGTTCTTACTGTTGAAGAAATAGATAAATCCCTGAACGCAATGCGAAACAGTAAAGCTCCAGGCCCTGGAGGCCTTCAAATCGAATTAATCAAAGTCCAAGAGTAGCCTTAGCAGGGATTTTCACAGAATACCTGAGAGCAAGTATACCAGACGAATGGAAACATGCACATATAACACCGATTCATAAAAAGGTTCAGGAGAAATTGTGAAAATTATTGGGGCAGTGTTACTAGTTCGATTGGCTATATGCATAGAACAGTTTACATATCTGGGAGTAAATATGACCTAAAATGGAGGTGATGAGGCCGTAATTAAGGAGAAGTTTGGTTTAACTATGATATAATAAAAAGTATTAAACTTAAAAACTTTCAGCACAAATTTAAAAGGATTTCTGCATACCATATGGATAAACTTAAGGAGTTAAGAGCTAACATAAGGCATGACATTGGCATAGCATACAATAGCTACACCGCTAAGGTGGAAGAAAATATTAAGAATGAGCCAAATTCTTTTTGGAATTTCATTTCTAACACAAAAAGAAACTTAAATGAAGCAACGTGTTTTCAACAACATGGTTCAACACTTTCTTCTGCAGAAAATATAAGTATGGCATTTGGTGAATATTTCAATTCTGTTTTTGATAATGTTTCTACTTATATGCTTAATAAATATGATGAATCCCTTCAAAGAAGCTCGTTGAACATATTTACATTTAATACCATTTCGAATAATGAAATATTGGAAGCAATAAGAAAGTTAAAGCCAAAAAAGGCACAAGGACCAGATAATATACCCCCTTATATCGTAAAAGGTGGCAAAGAGTTTTTTTTGTTGCCTCTCTCTATTATCTTTAACCTAGCGATTTCCACCTGTACGTTTCCTTTACATTGGAAGTGGGCAAAGGTTGTACCTATACACAAGTCTGGTTCTGTAAGTGAAATCGCCGATTATAGACCAATTTCAATAATATCCTGTTTTGCAAAAGTCTTCGACAGCATTATATATAATAGAATATTCAATCACGTCAAAGAGACATTGGATGTTAACCAGGCTGGATTTATTCCTAATAGATCTGTAGAAACAAACTTAATTATCTTAAATGAATATGTTAGTTCTGAATTGGATGGAACAGGTCAGGTTGACGTCATATACACTGACTTTGCTAAAGCGTTCGATAAAGTGAATCATGATGTACTTTTAGACAAGTTAGCTTAGTATGGTTTTTCTAAACAAACATTAAATTTCTTTGTATCTTATTTGGAAAACAGACATTTTTATGTTACTTATAAACATAGTGAGTCACAAAAATTTACAATAAACTGTGGTGTTCCGCAAGGAAAAAAAGATTTAGGAGTAATATATACACAAAGCTTTAACTTTGACGAGCACGTAAAAGCTATAACTGCATCAGCTCTAAGGTTGTTAGGATTTATTATAAGAAACTGTTACTCCTTTTTCAATATTGACACCATAAAGTACCTATATAATTCATTAATGAGATCAAAACTGGAATATGCTGTTGTGGCTGGAACACCCTTCATTGAGACAGTACAAAACAAATTTATTAAATATATTTTCTACAAACAATACAATAGATTTGTTGGTTTTCAGTCTTATGAATTCGCTCGGAGATATTTTGATATGACAAAATTGTCGGTCAAACGGGGTGTGATAAGTCTTGGTTATCTGTATAAGATACTAAACAATAAAGTGGATGCTGCATCAATTTTGAGAGGTGTTGGTTTGTATGTCCCTGCATATTCTAGTCGCCCTAGGGCTTTGTTTAATATAAAGCGTTTCTCTACGGAACTGAGAAGAAACTCACCATTAAATAAAATGGTAATATTATATACTAAAGTATCAGCAAGAAACTCATCTCATTACCAATATTCTCTGTGTTATACAAGGAGTTCAGAACTAAATGTTTTATGGCGCTCAACTGATTAAGTATTAGTTGTTAATCAATATTTTATATTGCGGCCTGATTTTAATAGATATTGTTCTATAGATCTTAGTTTTTCTACTATTAAGATAGTTGAAACATGTAATTAGGGTAACCTGCTTGTTTCAATAAATAAATAAGACTAGGAGGAGTCAGAATTGACGGGGAATGGAGTTTGAGGTTTGACCTGTAACCTTTAGAGAAAAAGAGAATTAGATAACACATGCATAAATTGGAATTCTGTGTCTATTATAAGAAAACTGTATAGCACCACAACATCAGCAGTAAAAGTAAATCAAATCGTATCAGAAAGATCCTTAACTACTAAAAGTCTTATAACAAAAGGATCCTCTCTATCCCATATCCTGTTCAAGATGTGTACAGTGCACGTGTAATGTATGGAAACATGAAAAAATCTTTTTAACGGCTTGATCAATTTGAACAAAAATTTGTTTATTTAGGACGCATTATGCGAATTCAAATTTTCTATCGGTAATGTTGCCAAATTTATAGATTCTGAGATAACATTATAAAACCTATTTTTTTTAAAAGAGACACTATTATATTTTTAAATTTTTTTAAGTTATTTTTATTACCTATTCAGTGATAAACTTGTATACCTATGTTTGTAAATGTAATTGCTTAGAAATTACGATTTACGATTTTTACACCCTCAACAAATGAGACGGGCATGAAATGTTTGAAATCCGCTATACTGTGTAAACGTACGTGCGAAGTGCTCTGTAAAGAACGGTGTTTAAAGTGGTACGAAGGTGAGCTTTTGGCTTAAAAGTATATTGGATCTATTGCTCAGATCTCTGAAATTAAAGGAATGTGTCAAGTTAAACGATTCATTTTCTGATAAGAATTGAACTTTATCTCAAAACGCCACCTATATCCATATAAAAACATAGGCAACCAAATGTACACATATAAGATAAGAAGATAATCTAAAAATTAACTTATTATTATGACGTCTCCCTTATTATTTTTTTAAAATATTTTTAAACTTAATTTTCTTATTCTAATCACAACTTAATTAAAAAAAAATGCTTAAAGGTGAGTTTAGACATGCATGGATTTAGTGGCGCCAGTAGTTGCGCCAGTTCTACTTGCACGCCAGTAAAGGTTTACATTACATGTGCCACGCCAGTGGCACATGTAAAAAATAAGTGACACGCCAGTTTCATTTTTAAAGTGTATTGCACAGAGTGCAATATGTTGAATGAGCTGTACGAAGCATGCAAAATAGTAGCCAAACTTTTAGTGGAAAAAAAGATAAAGGAAATGCAGAAAAAGAAACGAAGAAAAGGTCGTGTCTGGGTTAAACCATGGATTGGTCGTCGACCTACTTTGGGTGCTTCTACAAAACTTTTACCAGAACTCGCAGCAGAAGATTCTGCAAGCTATAAAAACCATTTACAAATGACGAAGCAAAATTTTGATATTCTTCTCGATTGTGTGACGCAACGTATTATAAAAATGGATACCCACATGAGAGATGCGTTAACACCACAATTAAAATTGGAAGTAACATTAAGATATCTCGCAACAGGAGATTCTTTCGCTTCATTGCAATATTTGTATCGTGTCCCAAAATGCACAATTTCAAATTTTATCCCTGAAGTTTGCCAAGCCATTTATGATGCGTTAAAAGACTTTATTAAGGTAAGCAGATACATAATAAAACACAGAAGATAGAAATCCAAAGTTTGTAATTTCGGTTAAATAATGCTAACAAATACAAAAATTTCTTAATTATTGTCGTTATACGATGAAGTATTTATTGCCTGTTAAAGTAGATCTGACTGTTCTTGCTGAAGATTGAAACGTAAATTAAAGTCATCGTAAGAATAGTTTGAACATGGGTTTGCAGTATATTCATAACTACTTGATGAGGCAGATGAGGAAGGTCGTGATATTTGCTCGGAATACTGGGTATTTGACAACCGTCGTCGTACAAGATACGATTGTATGTACTCCGTTGATTCCAAAGCAACTTGATTATTTATTTTTATCTGGTGGGCGCTGGTTAACAACAAAATCTTGGTTTTACGTTTCCATAAACTTTATTATTAATTACACTTAAACTATACATATAAATTGCGATTAGTTGTGGCGAGAGTTATATAGGGAGCCTTGCTCCGCGTGAATTGAAGGGGTACTGTTTCGGTGGGTGTTAAATCGAAGACTCGCTGGATAACTGATACGAGTTGAGCTCGCAGGCTCCTTCTTTATTTAAGGTCATAACTAAAAACCCTTACCGAAACACCGAAATATACACCCCAACGCATTCCCACACTTAACTCAACCCAATAAATAATGCGATAAAAAACCCTAATCTTGCGACTCGAGACACTTCAAATACAAACTAAACAAATGAGGCGATACAAATAAATCTAATATGAACGAACTAATATAATATAAAATCTAACACAACTGATTCTGGTAGCTTCTTCAACGAAGAAGCCACTGACTTGCCAAAACAATCAAACTCATTGTCCTCTTCTCTCTTAGGCTTTTCATCTAATTTCTGTACGATTTCCTGTAGCCCTTGTATAGCCCGATCGGTGTTACTTGTCCTTTTTCGAACTCTCTTTGGAACTGAAAAGTTCGAAGTTAGTTTTTGTGCGATTGGTTTTCTGGCCACGGATTACTCATTCGGGGAAGACGGCAGTACCTCGATAGTTGCTGACTGCGTATTTTCTAGAGAATCATTCAGTTGAGATTGTGATTCAATTTTCTAAAAATAAATACATAATAAAAACCCGATATCTTTAAAAATAAACTTTAGTGAGTATTTTTAAAGTTATTACTTTCAGGTGCCAAGCTCTGAACAAGAATGGAAGAATATTATTCAAGGATTTTCCACACGATGGAATTTTCCAAATTGTGCTGGAGCTTTAGATGGAAAGCATATTATATTACGAAGTCCTTTCTATAGAGTATATTTATTTGTAACTCTATATTAATTAATCATATAATAAAATATTAAAAATTAAAATGGAGTATTTGGTAGACTGTTTTATGTGTGTCTACCAGTTTATTTATTATTTTATGACTATAACAAAATCGCCATGGGAAAATACATTATGTTGATATAACAACCCATGGTGATATAACATGATGTTTCTATATAAAAATAATAAGAGTGCGTGATGCGCTACACTTTCCATTCAGACTCAGAATTTTACAACTACAAGGGAACGTTCAGTATTATACTGCTTACATTAGTTGATGACCAATACTGTTTTCAATATATAGATGTAGCTGCAAACGGAAGAGTATCTGATGGAGGGATATTTTCAAAAAGCAGTTTGAATAATAAAAAGTATCCGATACCCGAATTCAGTACCCCTGCCCACCTTTGATACATTGCGCTAACTCACTTAGGTGCGCTAGTATCAGTGTGTCAGCGCAGCAAATTTTGCTGCGTTACACATGGTTAAAACTCGCTATAAGGTAATTGCTTTTAGCTCTTAAGTTCGGAAGTGTAATAACAATAACAACGGCAAAGATTTAAAAAAAAAAGAAAAATACAATAATAAAATAACCAATAATAATAATAATGATCAACAACTATAACAATTGTCAATTAATGTAAACTTGATTTTTGTAATAATAAATAAAGTGACCAAAAAAAAAAAATATGCAAAAATGCAAAAAAGAAACAATTGTATAGTGAGAACTTTAGTGATACTTTCCTAGGTAGACTGAGCGATGGTTGATGCCAACACGATATTTTTTTTCCCAAATTCCAGGAGATCGGATTCGCACGTGATCACATGTTTAACGGAATTATCTTTTACCATAATTCTTCCATCATACGTCAAACTTGTCAACATACGGTGACACCTCGGCCGCAAAAGGCCTCGGCTTTATCAATTGATTTCATAACATCATGACATAATTTGTAGCGGATAGCAGTTAGGTCCTCAGTAATATAGATTTTTGTACCTTTTAACAGCTTCTTGTTCCTCATGACCAGGTTTTTATCTCGATAGCTCAAGAATTTCACAATTAAATGTCTATTTTTACCTTTTCCGACTCTATGTGAGCGCTACTAATAGTGGTAATTTTCAGCGTTTCGTTGATAACCTTGAGAACAGTATCTTCTACATGCTCTTCGGCTTCCTCGCAAATACCAAAGATTCTTATGTTATTTCTGTGCGTGTACTGTTCAAACTGTCAACGTTTGATGTTAATTTGTTGTTTGATTTAACAATAATCAAATTTTCCCGTTCAACCTTATAAACTTTAACTTGCAATTCCTTTATTTGTTCGTTATGTCCGTAAACATGTGGCGTAGATTTCCTTCAATAATCTTTCCCACTGAGTTCGCCAACGAGTGTACGAAGTTTTGGTCGACAAACAACTTTTTTAGCGACCGAAGAGATCTTGAATGTCACTCGTTTGAGAGTCAGCACCATTTTATATAACAATATGTATTTGCACAGTTGATTAGTTAATTTTCCCCGGTAACACTTCGAATAGATTACACTAATTTAGAAAAAGACTTTAGTCAAGTATTATCTACGATTGAACGATACATATCAAATATTGAAACAAAGTCGGCACCACATCGAAACACGTCTACTCACCACGACGCATCTCTCTCTCTCTTTCTGCAAAACTAACGACTTTTGTTGTTTGATTTGTGACTTCTATAGTAGCATAAGTCATAAGAAAGACATTATTAAAAAAATTACTTGAGAACATTTCTGATCCTAGTACCTAAAGTATGATGTACGGCAACGATTTCTAACATTTTCAAAAATATGTCTATTACCAATGTGGCTGAAGTTAGATTCATATTGGAATCTGTACCAGATTCAGATTCATAAAATTACAGTTGACCAGAGAAGTATTGAACATATCAATTGAAAAATCGTTTTCTGAAACTACAGAAGTTATACCAATCTGCGACTACCCTGGATAATTCGAATATACCCTCTAGTATGTTCCCTGTCTACCCTCATCCTCAGATTTGCCGTAGGGGCCGAGGGGTTCCTCGTATTCAATAGCAAAGTTAAAAATTATTTTCTCAATAACTAGAGACTGCAGCACCCTGGGACTAGTCTAGATTATTGCATTAGGTCCTCTGGTATCCTTGTAGCCCATGAACACCTCCAAATTTGCCGTACGGGCCGAAGGGTGAATTTTTTAATATTCCTCGTTTTCAATATCAAATTTAAGCATTTTTTTCTCAATAACTAGAGACTGCAGCACCCTGAAACTAGTCTAGATTATAGCATTAGGTCCTCTGGTATCTTTCTAGCCCACCAGTACCCCCAGATTTGCCGTAGAGGACGAAGGGTGAATTTTTTAATATTCCTCGTTTTCATTAGCAAATTTAAACATTAGTTTCTCAATAACTAGAGACTGCAGCACCCTGGGACTAGTCTAGATTATTGGATTAGGTCCTCTAGTATCCTTGTAGCCCATCAGCACCCCCAGATTTGCCGTAGGGGCCGAAGGGTGAATTTTTTAATTGCCTCGTTTTCAATATCAAATTTAAACTTTATTTTCTCAATAACTAGAGACTGCAGTACCCTGGGACTAGTCTAGATTATTGCATTAGGTCCCCTGGTATCCTTGTAGCCCATCAACACCCCTATAAATAATCCAAATAATCCCTATTTTTGAATTAATCTCTTCCATGCACGATGCCGTAACAATCTCTTCCTTTTTATGTCATTTTAAAAAATTAGTCATTGCAAGGTGTTATCGAAAATGGCCTATAATTTCTGAAATTGTGACGGATTGGAGCTTTGCTTTAATCACAGGTGTTTGTCTCGCTCTCAATAATATGCCGTTATATGCGTATTTAAAGGTATGTTATAAATATGTGTGCGATCAAGACCAGAGCATACGCGACATCATTATTTTAAGAACATGTGTCACTTATTTCATGAAGACGATGTCAAATTACCTACATAAAGCAAAAATTAATAAAAACTGCTTAGGTATAATATTGGATATGGTCGGTGTATTAATAAAAAGTCGAAATCTTCAAGAACTATCTGCCCATTTTAGAAGCTTTTTAATTGTAGTAATTAGTCCTGTAATTAACAGTGAAACAATTCAACATTTGAAATTGCTTCCTAATTTAACTGAATATTTACTGAAATTATGTTACAATATCAAGTTGACATAATTAATTACAAGGATGAAGAAGACGTCGATGCTATCACAGCTTCTTATGCAGATACACCATTTTATAAACATTTTCATCAAATTTATACTGAAGTTGAGAACACATTAGCAAAATGGAATAAAGATAGTGATGAGAAAAATAGTCTGCAAGGTATTTGCACAATTTTTGCTAAAGAATTATATGCCATTTGTACCTCTTTGGACGTCTGTGATAGACAATATATCGGCAGAAGAAGTTATTACATCAAATTCAAATGTTGAATGCTGGTTCAAAATTGTAAAAAAAATATCTTGGTGAATGACACATACTTGAAAGTTGGACGATTCGTAAGAATTTTAAAAAGAATTATACAAACTAATGTAAAAGAACTTACATTAGATATCAAAAAAATAAAGCAAAAAAGACAAACACAGGACGTTGATAACATTAATAGTCTAACATGTAAGGAACAGTGGCGGCAAAAGGTAAACAAACAGCGGACTCATTTCGATAAAAAGAAACTTGCAGCTTTTTTGAATAAACATATCCACCTATTAAATGATTACAACAACGATACAATTTATTTTGAAGATCAAGACGATATTGACGATCCACCCAGTTGTCATGATACAGAACATAAACATATCAACCTACAAAACAATTCGAATAGCTTGTTATGAAGATGATGTTGATGATCCATCTAGTTTTCATGATATAGAATATAACTCATCATCCTCATTATTTTACAAATCAAGCACAGTGCCATGTTATATGAACGGACTGATATCTAATAATGAATATTACTTGAAAGCAATAATCAAAATTTACAAAACACCTAAAATTTTTTGATTGGAATATACAAGTATCGTAACACCAGTATTAAATTAATGAGCGACGATTTTTTACGCCTACATTCAACTAAAAATTCTACAATAGTTAATTCAAAAACATTAACAGATAAGTGGTTGTCAGACTACTGCATCGATGCATTTGCGTTTTCATATTTAAAAAACATGACTAACTGTATTTATTACATAGATTCTGTTCCAGTACAATTTATGTTTTCCGGAAACGATTGCTTAAATTTAAAAGTATTTGTTGAAAATTTAAATAATTATAAGTACGTATTTGTTCCATATAATGTAAACTCTAGTCACTGGATATTAATAGTTTTAAGTATGTCAGAAAAATTAATTTATTTACTCGATCCCGGTCAAACAAACACGGACAATAATATATTTAACAAAATTAAGAAGTTTTTAAACAGGTGTAATAAAACAAAGAGTCGTAATGAACAAACAAATATTAAAGGTTGGAAAATGGCTAAAGACCACAAATATCCTAAACAAACGCATAGCACAAATTGTGGAATATTTGTTATATATTTTATGAGCGTTATAGGAGAACGTAATATTAATGATCTTTTTTATATAGATAACAATTGGATACAGAGGAATACTGGTTTAGGCTACAATCGTACTTGTTGGCAAATTCTGAAAATATTAAAAAGTACTGCCCTAGGTGTGGTCTCTATAACGAATCGCCATACATTTGTTGCAATCAGCGTCAACGGTGATATCATTTTAAAAATTGTACCAATATTGGTGGAATATTTGGAACATGTCTTTTGAACAAGCGTCCCACGTTACCTTCATATTTACCTGTAATCTTTGTTCAATTTAAATGCTTTAATGTGTCTCAAAATTTAGAAAAGTATCGTTCAAGTTTCATTAATAAAGAAGTAAAAGCCATTTGAAAATTATACTTTCAAATCAAACTAAATATTGAATAAATTTTGAATATAATAATCTAGACCAGTCCCAGGGCGCTGTAGTCTCTAGTTATTAAGAAAATAAGGTTTAAATTTGATATTGAAAACGAGGAATATTAAAAAATTCACCCTTCGGCCCGTACGGCAAATCTGGGGGTGTTGATGGGCTACAAGGATACCAGAGGACCTAATGCAATAATTTAGACTAGTCCCAGGGTGCTGCAGTCTCTAATTATTGAGAAAATAATTTTTAACTTTGCTATTGAATACAAGGAACCCCTCGGCCCCTACGACAAATCTGAGGGTGAGGGTAGACAGGGAACATACTAGAGGGTCTATTTGAATTATCCAGGGTAGTCGCAGATTGCTACAACTTCTGTAGTTTCAGAAAACGATTTTTCAATTGATATGTTCAATACTTGTCTGGTCAACTGTAATTTTATGAATCTGAATCTGGTACAGATTCGAATATGAATCTAACTTCAGCCACATCTATTACCACTTAACTAAGAGACATGGAATTTTTTTCTTATTTTTACCAGAGCAAGTATGGGTTGGCCTCTCACCCGGTGCCCGCTTGACGTTGAGTTTCGGGATACCTGTATATAAAGCTATGTTATGACTAAAACAGAAACGAAATGAACAAAGCAGAAAACAAGGATAACTAAATTGAAGGTGCTCAGAAACATATTGGGCGTGACACTGAGAGATAAACAGACCAGCAAATCAATCAGAGAAAAATATAAAGTACAAGACGTGGTCAAGTGCTCCAAGACGAAAAAAGGGAAATGGAAAGAGTATATAGAGAGAATGGAGAAGAACCGGCTGGCTCATATATGTTTGACGGAGTAACCAAGAAGAAGAAGACAACCCAAGGAATAGACCCATAATTGGTTGTCCTCGTCTAAAGAATGAAAAGAAGCAAGACAAACAGGGACTACTCTAGTCGAATGAAGAAAAAGAAGACTAACCTCCGCATTAATTTTAAATCGAACAATGTTTCGCGGATAATATTTAACAATTATTTGATCACAGAAAAAATATCCATCAATATCTCCATCTATGAGAAACTTTAAGTTATTTGAAAACGTCATTTTAGAAATAATAAACTAATTACAACAAAAAAATAATTTTGTTTAAAACTTTTACAAAATAAGTGCGTAAATAAATTATAAAAACATTTTTCTAATACAAGATTTTCTTGCTTAATTTTTCAAGTTTTTTATATCATCGTTCTTATAGACATTATCATCATTTTCATTTTTTTGAATCATGAATGTGACATTACGTAACCTATGTTTGATAACATCTAAGTTTTTCTCCTTCATTTCAATCATATCTCTAATTTTTCGTGTTTGATCGTTGATGATTTTACTAAACTCGTCTTCTTTTAGATCGTCATCTTCTAATGTAGCAAAATCGTCAATAACACCCGTTTGTAAATCACTAGCGAGAGAATGGTATGGTGAATAACCTTCTACTTTGAGTTCATTCGTGGTCGCTTCTTGAGGTATTTGGAAGTTGGTTAAGTCTTTATTTTTCTCTAATTGTATGTTTCGGTATTCCAAAATCTTGTATTTCATGAATAAATCTTCGTATCGTTCGCATTGTTCTGAAAAACTTTTATTAAGTGTATTCAAATCGTTTAACTCTTTCTCATACTCATTGACTTTTTCTTTGTATATTTGACACTCTTTACTGTAAGACTGATTTTGTTGTTCTAATGAACTAACTTTATGCGTTAATTTTTCAATTTCAGCAATTTTTTCGTGGGCCTCACGAAATTTATGCGCTAACGCAGTATTTGATTCCTTTTCCATTTCCAGTTCTTGTTCCAAAGTACTTCTTGTTACTTCGACTTCTTGCAATTTTCCTTTCGTTATGATCAGCTCGCTCTTTAAATCGCTCAACGACTCCTCTAGCGTGCAATTTTCTGTTTCTAACGATTTAATCTCTTCATTTACTTTTGCAATAATGCCAACCGCTTCTTTGTTTAAATTTTGTTGTTTATCCAGTTGATCCAAAATATCTTTGAGTTCACCTTCAGTTTGTTGTAGTCTTTCATTGTAACGTTTAATTATTCCTTCGACGGAACTTTTATATTCTTCAGCTCTTTGAAGAAGATTTTTAGCAACAACGCGAACAGATTCATCCATTGTTTTAAGAGTTTAGCTGTTCTTTTCACTAAAAATTTTGAAAAAACTCATGAAATTAATGCCAAAATGGTTTTAATTATGAAGTATTTTTAATTTTGACAGATATGCCAAAGAAACCACAATAATTCTATTATAAGTAGGCAAAAAATGACAATTTTTGTTTGTTTATCTTTTTACTTTATAATTTTTATTACAACAATAGGAAAGTAATAAAAAATGAAACTAAACATCAACAAATGCATATGAACCTCCTCGTCTAATATCTGGAACTGCCTCAACATTGCCATTGACGTTTGCAATTGATGTTACAGCTGCAAATCCATCTGGAGGTGGTAAAGTTGTGTAATTATGTCCAATTTCTTCTAACCCATGTATAATAGCCTTAAAAAAAGTTAACAAAGAATTAGCATATCTTAAACGTCAAAGCAATTTTTTTTTCATTTTCTATAGAAGAGTTTCATAACGAATTGCGTATATTTTACTGTTTACAGCTTGACAAATCTATCTTGGCCGGTGAAGGTCAGATAATCTCTGTTATATTTCACAGAGTGAAGATTGTATGCAGTACTTAACAAAATTATTAGTTTATATGTTGCAAATTTTTTTATGGAAAATAGATAAAACATAAGCTAAGAAAATTGGCATACTTATGAAAATAAACAAACACGGCCAATCCAAGTAATGGTGCGAAATTTACATTATCTATTTATTTACAATTTATGGATACAAAAACAGGACAAACCCAAATGATCTGTACCACGAACATGTGCCACGTGTACCACCTGTGCTGTGTGTACAGTAGCTTGGAATCGAGAGTCACTCCAAGGTCTCTAATAAAGGAAAGGCGTGTTAAGTTTTCGCCAGCGATGTTGTAATCGTATTAAACAGTATTCTTCCTTCTCGAAAAAGGAATAACATTACATTTAGACAGATTTAGGGTCAAGTGGTTTTTAGTACAAAAGTCAGAAATCCGGAGAAGGTCAGTCTGCAGTCTAGAGCAGTCCATCGGAGAGGAAATACGCAAATAAAGTTTGAGATCATCTGCGTACATTAGACATTCACAATGCTTCACGACCTTGAAAATATCGTTAACATAAAGATTAAATAGCAAGGGTCCGTGGTGGCTACCCTGAGGGACACCCGATGGAACAAACATAGGATCAGCGCAATATCCGTTAACAGACACAATCTGGCTCCTACCTCGCAAATATGAATCAAACCAGCGGAACAACCCACCATGAACACCCACACGCACGATCAAAAGCCTTGCTAAAATCGGTGTAAACAGAATCAACTTGACAATATTGGTCAAATGATGTTAAAATATAATTTGTGTATTCAAGCAGGTTGCTCTCCACTGACTGATTCGCAAAAAAAAACATGTTGTGTGGGATCGATTTTGGATTTAAGGCTAAAGAAGAGTCTGACCAGTTTCTCTAAAACCTTACCAAACACAGACAATATAGATATTGGGCGATAGTTAGATATAAGATTACGGCTACCGGATTTAAAAACGGCCAAAATATATGCACGTTTCCAAAAGGCAGGAAACGTACCTCCCTTTACAGATTTGTTAAATAAGATGGAAAGTGGTAGAGAAAGAGATTCAAAACATGATTTTATTAGGATAGGAGGAATACCATCAGTGCCTGGACCCTTATTTATGTTTAAAGCAATAAGTGCTTCCTCAACCTCAGACCGCTCAAAGCGCATCGGACCCAAACATGTAGTATCATTAAGGTCAGCATTAGCAGAGTGAAGTGAATTAATTGAATTAACAGGATTAACAGAGGGAGGGACATACACCGAAGAGAAATATGTTGCAAATAGCGAGCAGACACCCTTACCGTCCCCGGCAACAGCCCCATTTAATGTCATAGGTGTAGGAATTGTATCCGCACCTTTCTTGTTTTTAATATAAGACCAAAAGTATTTAGGATTAGCTTTAATACTGCTCTCGACGCCACCAACATACCTCCCATAGTCGCGCCGAATGAGAAACTTAGAACGCCCTCGCAATAATGAAAAAGTCAAATAATCTATTTGTTTTCCATACCGTTTCCACTTAACATGAGCCCTTCGCTTTTCTCTGATCACTCTGATAGTATCTCGCGAAAACCACATCGGAAAACCACTAGTGAATTTGCGCTTGATCGGAGTAAATTTTTGAATGGCAAAATTTAAATGGTAATAAAAGAAATCAACAGCAGGGTCTACTTCACGATGATCGATGTCGTCAATAAAATCAGAAAAGATAATAATCAAGGACCAACAAAGAAGGAGCCATTATATCTATTTATGATTAGCTTCCACAATACAGAAGATATAAAGGAAATATTTGCTATTAGACAAATACTAAACCTAGACAATTCACTTCCAATATTGTAAGTAAAGAAATATATGTCCAAACAACATCAGGTAAGCAAGATCAAAGTAGAGCTGTACTTACAGCACATCATACTCCTAATATAACGGAAAAAAATAACCGAACGTTTACTTAAAGATTTATCAGATAAATTCAACAAGATTGAGAAAAGACTCGAAAAAGTAGAAAGTATTTACACCAGACCTGCTTCACTATCCTACAATGGTGCGAGATGTTAGGATAGCCACGTGGAATGCTAATGATGTTCTAACGCATAAAGAAATAATTGCATCTTTCTTATCATTACAGAAAATTGATATTTTACTCACTACAGAAACACATCTAATAAAAGAACAAACCATTAATACAAGATTTTACAAAACATACCACGTCAACCACCCAAGCAATCAAGCAAGAGGTGGAAGCGCAATAATTATAAGAAAAAATATCGGACACCACGAAGAAGTCCCCCTGCAAAAGGAGGAAATACAGGTGTGTGTGGTTGGTGTGAAAATCAGTAATCAAAATATGACAGTTGCAGCAGCATATTTTCCGCCTAGGTACAACAACAAGAAAGAAGATTATAAAAGCTACTTACACCATCTTGGAAATAAATTTCTCTTGGGTGGCGATTTTAATGCAAAAAACACAGAATGGGTATCAAAAGTCACAACTACAAAAAGGAAAGAACTACTGAAAGCCATTCAAGAGACTGGAGCCAATTATCGTTCATCAGGAAACCCAACCTACTGGCCTACTGATGCGGATAAGAGACCTGATTTATTGGACTTTTTTATATCCAAGAAATGTTCACCCAATTTTCTGGAAGTGCATGATAATTACGACCTAGCTTCGGATCATACAGCACTGGTACTGACTTTAAGTGAAAAGATTATTGAAAAGGAAAGAAAACCAACCCAGACGAATGGTACAACGGATTGGGAAAGCTTCAGATTGGAACTTGAAGGAAAAATGCGGTTAAGCTTTCCACTGAACACTAAAAAATAACTGGAAGATGAAGTGGAAAACTTTGTACGAGATACTCAGCGTGCAGCATGGAATAACACAAAAGAATTGAAACGTGAAACTTCTAGCAAGAATTACCTTCAAGAAATTACAAAACTAGTTGCAGACAGAACAATTAAAACGAGAAATAAAGAAAATAAAGGAAAAAACGGTCAAGAAATACCTTACTGAGTTAACCGCCGATCCTTAACTGAAATTAACCTTCCAAAGGGAAGTGATTATTCATTATGGAGAGCAAAAAGAAAGGCCAAACGTCCTATTACTCAAAATCCACCGCTCAGAACTGATAATATAACGTGGGCAAGAACTAATAAACAAAAAGCACAATTATTTGCAAACCATCTAGAAAAAACTTTCCAGCCAAATGATATAAGCTCCGATTGTGAAGAGATCAAAGAATATGTTAATAGTAATGAACATATATAACATATTACGCCAACAAATGAAGTTGCTAAAGAAATTAGGAAGAATATAAGTGCAAAGAAAACACAGAGTTTTAACTTGATTACAGAAGAAATCTTAAAAAACCTCCCTAGAAAAGCAATCTTAAAACTAAGGTATTTAATAATTGCAACGTTTCGTTTATGATACGTAAGTACCTAGTATGTGGAAAATTGCAGAGGTAATTATGATATCTAAGCCAAAGAAATCACCATATGATGTGGCTTCATACAGACCAATCTTGTTGCTTCCAATAATCGCAAAACTCTGTTCCTCAAAAGGCTTAAACCATTTATAGAACAAAACCAACTTATTCCTGAGTATCAATTCGGATTTAGAGAAAAACATAGTACAATTGATCAAATATACAGAATATCTGATTTGATAGAAAAAACTCTCAAAGGAAAAAAATTTGCTCTGCTATATTTGTCGATGTAGCCCAAGCATTCGATAAAGTATGGCATAAATAAAATAAAATTAGTAAAATATTGCCAAAACTGTATGTGGGTTGTCCTAGAATCTTATATTAAAGACCGATTATTTCGAGTCAAATACGAAGCCGAATTTACTGATTTAAGAGAGATAAAAGCTGGTGTTCCACAAGTAGGTGTACTTGGGCCAATTCTGTACCTGCTGTACACAAACTCCAATCTCCGATCTGCCAGAGGACAATGGTATATCAATAGCAACATTCGCTGACGATACAGCCATGATGGCTGTGGGTAATGAAGGCAAGTCCGTTCATATTAACTTTACAAACAAAACATTACTTGATTTACCACCAATCACAATTAATAATAACATCATTCCATATGCAGACTCAACAAAATATCTCGGTATACACCTAGATAAAAAACTCACCTGGGGGGTACATACAAAGAAAAAACTGGAAGAACTGCGAATAAGAAACAGACAGTATAGCTGCTTAATTGGAAGACAAGCAATGTTAGCAATAGACTATAAAATGCTAATATACAAGCATATCCCCAAACCCGTATGGCTGTACTGGATACAACTATGGAGATGCGCCAAAAAGCGCCATATTGAAACCATACAAAGATTCCAAAATAAAATCTTGAGAAACATCGTGAATGCGCCATGGTATGTTAGGAACAGAGATATCCTTAAGGATCTTGAGATCGCGGATGTATATAGCCAAATAAAACGGTTTGCACAAAAACATAAATCTAGAATTGACAACCATGTTAATCCGAGTGTGTCTCTTCTCTTTGAAAATGAAAACGTCCAACGAAGATTAAAAACGACTAAGCCATTTGACCTTGCCTAGTGAGTAACAGTGGTAAATAGTGAAAAAGTAGAGTAATGTGCAGTAGTATAATTTAATAGTGTCTTCTGAAAACCAATGTGCGACCAGAAGATTAGTCACTTTAGTGATTAGTTTTTAAGAATTTAATATTGATAAACTAATGGTTGGTCAATGATGAACAGTTTTAGTGTAAAAAAAACTTAGTAGAGTTGTTAGTAAGAGAACCAACAAGTTGATAGTTAACACTTTTTAAAGTAAAGTTAATATAGATTCAAAGTATCATAAATAATTGTGTATTGTGACGTTTGTTTTGTTTGCAGTTGTTATTGGTTGTGTTCTGAGGTATTCTTTAATTAAATCATCGTTTGCTTGTTTCTTTTTGTGTTAGCGACTATTTTCGGTGTAAAAATAAATACATGGTGAATTATAATATAAAATGGCGAAACGGTCATATCCTAGTGGATCTGAAAAAAGGAAAAAAGCTGCACATCGGAAGGAAGTAATTAAAAAGTTACCAAAATTAATATCATATTTTACTACTACTAGTGGAGAAACTTCTGTAAGTAACAAAAAACCAAAAATCTTCCCCATGATGAGTCGTGTCGTTCACAAATTGCGGGAATTTCTGAATCCTCATGTTCTTCAACAATTTCCACCAACTTTGGAAAAGACATTGAATCAGAAAGCGACCGTCCCTATGACGAAACAGCAGCAAATTCGGTGATTTCACAAATAGCGACAACTGTGTCAGTAGAACAACAACAGTTTTCCAACCCGGAAGAAATATCGCACGATCTCGCCGATTATTTTCATGAAAATTTTACAGAAAAAAATCGCGAAATATTGATTCGTAAGGGATCTGCATATTTTCAAAATAAAGATTCTGACTTTTCCGATACATCCAGAACCTGCAAAGATGGTAATAAATCAGTAACTAGGTATTTCAACAAAGCATTATTTATTCGCAAATTGAAGAACAATGAAAGCGTCGAAAGAAAATGGTTGTTGTACTCGCCATCCAAAAAGTCTGTATTTTGTTTTTCATACTCTTTGCTAACCCTTCTGATGTAAATCTATGCTCTTCGAGTGGATGTAATGATTGGAAGCACATTAATCACATAATTTTAGCACATGAAAATAGCCCAGCACATAGGCTGGTAGAGTAGATATTGAGAAATATGGAGAAATGTACTTAAACGGATTGTAGCTGTTGTAAAATTTTTGGCATCGAGAGGGCTTTCGTTTCGCGGTGATAATGATATCCTAGGATCTCCTAATAATGGAAATTATTTGGGATGTGTGGAATTATTGAGTGAATTTGATCCATTTATAGCAGATCACTTAAAAAAAATTGGGAATTCTGGAAAAGGTAACATTTCTTATTTATCAGCGAATATTTGTAATGAGTTTATTGACGTAATGGGAAAACAGGTTCTAAAAAAAAGTATAAATGAGGTTAAATTTTTCCATTAGCGTTGACAGTACGCCCGATGTGTCTCATGTTGACCAGCTAACTTTTATAATTCGATACGTAAATGACAGTGTTCCTGTTGAAAAGTTTCTGAAATTTATACCTATTATAGAGCATAAATCTGGGTATTTTGCGGAAACCATCTTGAATTTTTTAGATAACCATGATATTCCTATAAAAGATTGCAGAGGACAAAGCTACGACACTGCTTCAAATATGTCGGGGAAGTATACTGGTCTACAAGCAAGAATCAAGGAGAAATGTGAATTTGCCACCTTTGTACCATGTGCGGGACATTCACTAAACTTAGTAGGTGTACATGCTGCTGGGTGTGTATCGGAGGCAACAAAGATTTTTGAAATGGTTCAGAAAGTCTACAACTTTTTTTCGGGCTCTACTCATCGATGGAATATATTGACAGAACATTTAGGTTCAAAAAAAGTTGTTACAAGTCTTTCACAAACCAGATGGTCAGCCCGAACATGCAATAAGCGCCTTGCATGAAGGTCATGAACAAGTTATAGAAGCTTTGATATCCATCGTAAAAGATACAGAACAGGCACGAGAAACTAGAGACGAAGCCCTTAGTCTATCCAGTAAAATGGAAAAACTAGAATATATTATACTAACGGAAATTTGGAACTGTATATTGGAAAGAATAGACAAAATAAGTAATTATCTTCAGAAAGAAACAATAGCACTGGACGTTGCAACTAATATGTTTACTTCACTTGATGATTTTATTATTAACCTCAGGGATAAATTTGGTTACTTCGAATCGTCTGCCAAAGAAAGAAACCCGGAATCTGACTACAAGGACCTATCTCAGAGAACAAAACGCAGAAGTTCTCGCCAGAGTTTTTTTGATGGCTCTGCGCCGTCAGTCCAACTGAATGGAAGAGAGAAATTTAAAATAGAATCCTTTCTTCCCACAATTGATACCCAGATCGTTCATCTAAAACAGCGATTAGAAACGTTTTGATGATTTTTTCGCTTGAAAACTCTGAATTCTGAAGAGTTGACACAAAGTTGCAAAGAATTTGATGAATTTTATTATGAAGATGTTAATGAGAAAGAGTTAGAAATAGAATGTTTACATTTAACAGAATACTTGAAAATTGTTGACAGTGAAAATAAGGATTGTATATTCAAAATATGTCAACTTTTGAAAGAAAACAAAATTGAAGACACATTTCCAAATGTAGAAATCGCATTGAGAATCTTTTTAAGCATGATGGTAACTAATTGCAGTGGGGAACGCTCCTTCTCTAAAATGAAAAGAATTAAAAATGAATTGAGAAGTACAATGCTTCAAGAGAGGTTAACCAGTTTGTCGCTGATGTCCATAGAATCTGATGTGCTAAGAAACATAGATTTTGAAGAAGTGATTAACGATTTTGCCCATCTGAAATCTAGAAGGGTTCCTCTTTAAAAACATAGATTTTTAAGCACTAACCTGTAAATGCTAAAAGAGTTACTTTTGTGGACTATACAGCGTGTCCCGTATCTTCCGCATCAGAGCATTATACGGTTGTAGAATACATTATTCTGAAGCGATCTTTCTAATAAAATTTTTTCGAAATGTTTATAATAACCGCACGGGAACTGTTTAACGACGACCAATAACGGACAACTTTGATTCATCGAAAAAGTTTATTTCTCTTTCCATGACGAATCTATTGGTGAGTACACGTGGGAAACGAGTTATCATCGGCGTAGCGGACCGGCCGAGGGTGGCACCGATTACCTGAGTCTGATTTGCGATCTGCTGATTGGACGAAAAACAGTTCCTTTAAACAGTTCCCGTGCGGTTATTATAAACATTTCGAAAAAATTTTATTGGTAATATCGCTTCAGAATAATGTATCCTACAACCGTATAATGCTCTGATGCGGAAGATACGGGACACGCTGTATTACATTTATCTATTCGTTTCATGTGATTGTTAATAAAAATAAATCTTTAACTTTGTTTATCTACTTTCTTTGTCTATTCTAACAAAATAGTGTTCTGTCAAAGTCATAGGGGCCCAGTAATATGCCCAGGGCCTCCAATAGGTTAAAGACGGCCCTGCATAGTTATGATTTTTGAAATCCAACTCTGCATGTTTGATTGTTATAGATATGAAATAGAAATTTTAAAAAATCCTATCTGAAGAATGATAGGAGATATCATCATGAAATAAAGAACATTAACAGTCAAACTGTTACAGATATATGAAATATAAATTTAAAAAAATCGTATCTCACCAACGAATGAAGATCATCATAATCATCATTAAATAAAGAATCTTTTAAAGTTTAAAGTTTGATGAAGTTTCAATGTAACGTAAATTAAGATATTATTTTATTAAAACCCAACTTGGCATGTTTGATTATTGTAAATTATAAGAATTGTATCTCAAAAACAAATTGAGATACAAATTTACTTAGTATTTAAGATTGAAGATAATTTTTGCAAATCTTCAAAATTTTGACTTAACATAATGTTAGGGTAATAATTTTTTTCAACTATTTAATGTCGTAGCTCTTCTTCTGCGCAACTGGCCGGCCAAGATAAATTTGTCAAGCTGTACTATTATGCAATTCTCTCTGAAACACCTTTTATACGAATAACTTTAACATACTTCATCAAATCCACCTTCATACGATATTGACATAGGAAATAATTGGTGATGTAATCTCGGCATATTTGACGCTTCCTCTAAACTTAAATTAAACCAAAGTTTTCGAATGGCAACCAAAATACTAGATGTAATAATTCTCGTTCCACCCGCTGCTCCAATTATCATTTTAACGTCACCTTCATTATCGTCGACGATAATAGTCGGACTCATCGACGACATAGGACGTTTACCTGGTACGATATAATTAGCCGGAGATGGTGGAATACCAAAAGCATTGATGATATTCGGTGCAGAAAAATCATCCATTTCATTGTTTAAAATGATTCCGGTGCTCGGGCTTACAACTTCCGACCCAAACACTAAATTTATCGTTCCAGTTATGGCGACGGCGTCACCGTTTGGCGCAAGAATACATAAATGGGCGGTTCCGTGATCTTCGGTTAAAGTGGTATTAGCTCCGTAATGTTCGTAATCTTGATATGTTGTGTTATCCGAGATTAATTCACGAGTACTTTTCGCGTACTCTTCTGATGTTAAATTGGCAATTAATTCGTTGACGTCAACAAAATTTTCATCTCCAAGTTCTGTTCTTTTTGCGTAACCATATTTGAATGTTTCAACGATTCTTTGGAAGTTTCTCAACGTTTCACCTTCACATATCACCAAAAAATCTTTTAAAACGTTCATTATAAAAGTTACTATAACTCCTGATCCGGGTAAAGGAGATGTAAAAAGTTTTTGGTTGAAGGGAAGAATAGTTTGAATTGGATCTTTCCATTCTACTCTAAAATAAGAGAAGTATAGTGAACATATGTTTTTAGAAAAAAAGTTTAGTCTTACTCATATTTATTTAAATCTTCTTCTGTAATGATTCCACCAGCTTTTTGAATATCCTCAACAAATTGTTTCGTTAAAGATCCCATGTATAAAGCATCGGCACCTTCTTTTGCGATTATTTCTAAAGTTTCTGCTAGTTTTGGACGTTTTATTAAATCACCTTTTTCGTAAACTTGATTTGTTGATGGATTTACAAACATTTCTCTACAAAAAGTAGCAAACCCCATAATAATTAAAACGTCAAAGTGTTTAACAAATACTAGAATGTGTAATAATAAATGGAATTCAAAATGATAAACCGTGATGTATGGCTGAAAAGTTATTTAAAAGTGAATTGACCAATCAACATATAAAAAATCTAAGAAAGGTGAATAAATATGAATATCCTGTAAATCCTTATGTCTTAACCAGTTTGACTAACAAACTTAACCTTCTGATGGGCTATCTCAAGAACTGTATTGCTGTGTTTAGGAAATCAACTCCATGAAGAAAGTACGCTATGGATTTATCATAAATGTCTGATACGAAATGCTCTATTCATAATTTGGTTCAATGTTTTTCTGAAGAATTGATAAAATTTTAAGGTAGTGGCAGATATAGAAAGCTGAAAGCTGCGTATTCGCCGTGGCATTCAGTGGCTACAAAACCATTGTTTATGATATATTTAACATTTTCATATCATTTGATATTCTCAGAGTGGATTAGAATAAAAGGGAAAAGAACAGAAAACAAGAATGGATTCCTCCCTAACACAACCGGCAAACAAATAAAATACTGAAAATAAAGTAATTAAACTTACCTCCGCCAGTAATCTTAGATAGTGTAAAAAACTTTAAAGAGCTACACGAAAGGGTAAACAACTCTTTTAAAGGGTTCCAAATAAAAGTATTAAAATTAATGCGCCTGATGGCGAATGCTGCAGAAAACACACAAAAATGCTAAACGAAAACAGTTTATTCATAGTACTCTTATGAAAACAGACAGAATTACCCAATTAAAATTGTCGTAATAGATTTGTTTCATGACTAGGTTATAAAATACCGGTGATTAATACGACGAAGATGGTAACAAAATCTACGAAATTAAAGAGATACTGGGAATGAAAGTCAAGATAGAACAACAAGTAAATATTAAAACTTTTCATAGTGTTCACAATTCCACAGTGTAAAAACTGCCATGTGGTTCAAATAGGATGGTGCATCTAATCCCGTCTCCCACCTCTACGAAACCTCAAGAGAACTTGAGTAACTCTGCTATAAATGTATTAGCCAACTCATATGGAAAGCAGGGTCAGGGTGTATGACAGCGGGCGAAGTGGTCCTCATGATTCATTGTCAATAAAACGATTAAGTACCTAATCATAGATACATCGATTCAACAACGACAACGAAGAGAGCAACGAAAAGGAGACGTTCAAAGAACCGAGCAAGTACAAGAAAAGGGAAATACAAACGGAAACCCAAGAAAATCATCACCACATAGAGACAAGCAACAGATACGCACTGCTGAGTGACGACCAAGGTAAAGAAGAAATTATGGACGACACGAAACCAGACGAAGTGACTGAAAACCCGGAAAAACAAACATACAAAGAAAAACAAGGCAGTGACACCGAAAAATAATCAAGTATATTCCTCACTCAGGGCCGCATTAAAGAACACACTTTACTTGCAAATTGTAGAAAAATAATAGGGTGATATATAAATACTCATTATTCTTTTATTTGTTGTGTTTCTAATATTAAGTACATATTTTTTCTAAGAAATATTTTGAGAAGGCATGCATTGTCTAATTACAAAAGAGGGCGGAGAATAATTAGATTCTTTAAAATTTTGTTATTCTACTATTTAGACATTCCTAAAAGTAATATTTTTAAGACTTTTATATTAGTTTTTATAATTAAATTTTAGGTGTTTATAACTAAACTTTAGTTTTTTATTAAATTTTAGTTTAAAAAAAGTTGTCATAAGGTGGGATGATAAAATCATCCCTGGAAGAAATAAAAGGAGATCTAGAAAAACAGGGATACCCAATTTCGAAAATTACTCGAATTAAAAGGAAAGAAAGGTCTACCTGCGCCACTGGTGCTGGTCCAGAAAATCCGCAACGGCTACTTCAACTGCATGAAATGCGGTAAGAGCCACATGACCAACACCTGCACAAAACCTTTAACCCTACCTCCCAAATGCGCCAACTGCCAAGGGGAACACATCTCCTCGTCCATAAAATGCAATCCAAACGGCGAAAACAAGAAGAAGACTGCAACACCGACAGTGCCAGAAAACGTATGAGCAAACAGAGAAGAAAAAAGAAAAGAAGAAAACAAAAAGAAGGAACAACAACAAAACAAACAAGAAGAAAAACAAGAAAAGATTGCAATGGTTCGGACAAACTCGCAAAAATCATTGGCAAAATAGTGGTCGAGATAGTAAACGCCAACATGATCATGCAGAAGTATCGGCAAACTAAAAAAAACTCAAAGGAAATCGTAGAACTCTTCAAAAAGCAATAAGTGAATAACACAAACAATAAAGTTGGCCTTCTGGAACATCAACAGCATCAGTCCAAAGAAAATCAAAACAACGCTATTCCTACAAGAAAACAAATTAGTACCTAATGAAACGTTCAAAGACTCAGAATTGAAAGAAATTTTCAACCACAACGCAACCACGATTCTCGCCGAAGACCTAAACTGCAAACACCAGGATTGGAACAGCTGTGTCGAAAATAACCACGGAAAAAGATTAAAACATCTCGCAGAAAAGGAAGGACTAATGGTGATGGGCCCAGAAGAGCCCATGTTCACCCATCAAACAACTCAGTACTTAAAGCAAAAAACTACATTAAAAACAATAAACGAACTCTTATGCGACCATTGGAATTCATCATGGAAATTCAAATCGAGCTCGAAGAAGAAACCCAACAAATAAAAATAGTAAACTGGAAAAAATACCAAGTTGCAATAAAAACCAAGAAAGCCTCAATCAACTCAACAGACGAATTAGAAAACGCCATCAGAGACTTGGAGGAAAGAATAATCGAAACCCTGAATCAGACCACACAGATGAAAACGGTATATTCAAAAAAAATGCAACTAAGAGCCGAATTAAAGAAGAAACTAAATACAAAAAATACAAAGCCAATTGAACCCAAACCAAACAGCAAGACAACGAAAATACGAAGAATTTCACAACTACATAGAAAACTCACACAAACCAGACGACGAAGAAGACCAAAAAGAAATAGAACCAGTCACTACAGACGAGATAAAAAAAATAATAAACCAAAAAACGAAATAACTTCATACCGGCCAATTAACCTTCTACTTTCAATAAGCAAAGTCATCGAAAGAACCCTACACATAGAAATAAGACAAGTAGCAGAAGAAAACAATATAATCCCCGATCACCAATACGGATTTAAAAAAGAGCACTCAACAGCTTATCAGAATCATCGAACACATAATAAGCAAAGCAAACATATCCAATCACACAGGCGCTATCTTTTTAGATATAGAAAAGGCATTTGACAAAGTTTGGCACCCTGGCTTAATACATAAAATGAGAACAGCAAAATTCCCAACAAAACTAATTAAAATAGTAAAATCATACTTAAACAAAAGGATTTTCAAGTCAAACAACGCAAAAAAACAAAAAAACGCAATATCGAAAGAAACGCAAATAAACGCTGGGGTCCCTCAGGGCTCAGTACTAGGACCACAGCTCTACAACATATACATATCAGACATACCGACAATTCGCAGATGACACAGCAATCTTTACTTCAGGAAGAATGAAATCAGCAATAGTTAAGAAACTCCAACAAACAACAGACCAAGTAATAAGTTATATGGAAAAATGGAAAATAAAAGTCAACGAAGACAAAACGTGCCTGCACCTTGGCTGAGTGATGAGATAAGATCTCTTATGCGACTGCGTAACCGTGCAAAGTCCGTAGTTAAACGTACACCCTCTAGTGCTAATCGGGAAAATTATCGAATTTTACGCAACCGCTGTAATCATAAATGCAAGTATGCTAAGAGATCTTATTTCTACCAGAGGCTGTCTGGAATCGCGCCGAGAACATTTTGGAGGACTATGAGGTCTCTCGGAGTGATTGATTCTCCGTCTGTCCAGATGGATCTTGATCGTGAGTCGATGGCAAACTTTTTTGCAGAGCCTCCCCTGATCATCGATGACGTAACTAAGGCGGCTACAATTAATGAAATTCTTACTTCTCTTAAATCTTGCTCCTTCTCTCTTACGCTTGTGACCGCGATCGAAGTAGGTGATGCTTTGACTTATTCGAAGTCCCCTTGCGTGGGTTCTGATGGTATCGGTCTCAACCCTCTTCTTCCTATCCTGGATATAGTGCTTCCTCCCTTAACTCATATCTTCAACTTTTCTTTTGAACGGTCTTTATTTCCCTCTGTCTGGAAGGTTGCTCATGTCGTTCCCATACCCAAATCCAAGTCCTCTTCATGTAACACTGATTTCCGTCCGATTACAATTTTATCCGTACTATCAAAAGCTCTTGAACGCTTAGTTTATTTACAAGTCCAAGGATTTCTAGAGAGGTTTAATTTACACAATGAGTTGCAATCGGGTTTTCGCAGTGGGCATAGTACAACTACTGCCATCATTAAAGTTACTGATGATATTAGGTATGCCTGCGACAACAGATGTGTTACTGTGCTGGTACTGCTCGATTTCAGCAAGGCTTTTGACTCTGTCGACCACAGCCTTCTTTTAGCGTCTCTTTCTGCCTACGGATTCACTCCCCCCTGTGTTTCTTGGTTTCAATCCTACCTTCCTTCCGCTTGTGCAATCAAATGTGGTGTTCCTCAGGGCAGTGTATTGGGTCCGTTACTTTTTTCTTTGTTCGTTAATAGTGTTACTAATTATATCTCGTGTAATTATCATTTGTATGCCGACGACCTGCAGATATATACTACTACTACTGTTGCTGAATTTCCGGCAGCTATTGTGCGACTTAATAACGATCTATCTAACGTCTTGAACTGGTCTCGGAGATACGGACTTAAGTTGAACTCAGTTAAAACGCAAGCTATTGTGTTTGGAACTCGTCAATTACTTGGTAAGATTAATCCATCTGCCTGCAGTGATCTGATGCTGGATGGTAATGTCATACGGTTTTCTAACACAGTTAAAAATCTTGGAGTCCTTATGGATTCTGCACTGTCTTGGAAACCGCAAATTCAACATGTTTGCAGAAAAGTCTATGCTTGCTTCCACTCTTTAAAAAGACTTCGCTGCTCTCTTCCTCCTGTGGTGCGTCGTAATCTTTGTTACTCTCTTATATTTCCTCACTTCGACTATGCGGACGCGGTTTATCCCGATCTCTCGGTGACTCTTCTGAGTAAATTGCAGCGGCTACAAAATAATTGTATCCGGTTCATATTTGACCTAAATAGATTTGAGCATGTAACGCCGTATCGCAATTACATTCAGATGTTAACCTGTGAGAGACGTAGATCCTTTCGTTTATTAACCATTTTATTTAAAATCCTTCATAACTGCACCCCAAAGTACTTATCAGATAGGTTCCAGCAATTATCAACTCATGAGCTTGCTACTCGTTCACGTTCTGATACTATTCTTACATTTCCCGTTCATAGCACTGAAATTTATCATAGATCATTTACAGTACAGTCGATTGCGCTGTGGAATGGACTGCCTTCTGAAATTCGTAATATTTCTAGAATTACTAATTTTAGACATGTTTTAAAGAGCCACTTGCTTGCCCTTCAACTGGCTGTTTCCTGATTCTTTGTTCTTTGTCTTTCTCTTTTTTTCCTCTCTTCAACTGCTCTCACTTGTTGGCAACTGATATCCGGCAGATTCTTTTAGTTTCTTTTAGTCGCTCTCTATCTCTCTTTTTGTGTCTTTTCTTTATTTTTCTCTTTGTTTTTCATTTCTTGCTTAATCTTATTTGGTGATGTTAATAATATCTAATTATCACTACTTGCCATATTCAGCAAATATTATTTTTATTTGTTCTGTTGGGTCATTTGGCAGAGATCGCTTGTGCGATAAAATGATCCATTTGCTAATACTGCTTACTGTTTAAGTTAAGTGTATCTTATGTAATTTTGTATTTTTGTCTGTGGCAATAAATGGTAAATAAACAAAACAGAAGCAGTAATGTTCGTATATAAACAAGACTGCAACCCCACTCTCGAAAAAGTCAAAATCAACAACAAGGAAATAGAATGGAAAAAAGAGGTTATATATCTAAGAATCAGACTAGACAAGAAATTAAACATGATCAGTCACGCAGACCAAATCAGAAGAAAAATAGCAGCCATAACAGCAAAATTGTGCCCTATCAACAAAAAAAGTAAACTAAACCTAAACAACTAAATCAAAATCTACAAATCAATAATAGTGGCGATAGCCGCCTACGGCGGTGCAGCTAAGAAGAGATTACAACAAAAGCTAAACAGCACACTACGTCTAATAACAAACCCAGAAAATACGTAAGAAACGATCTACTAAGATTCGAAACAAATACAAAAACTAAGATGAACTAAGCAAGTTCAAACCAAAATGAACAACAAGTGACAAAAAGCAAAGAAGTCTACGAAGCTATAAACGGGAACAAATAAAGTGTAGTGTCTACGTGAAAGCCAACATACTGGCCGATAGGCGGCAATAAAATACAAGACTTGAAAGACTTCTCCGAGTACAAGAGGGGTCTCTGTCAAAACGTCATACAAAATCCAGCCAACCCCCGTTAATCAATAAACATACGAACCCGAGAATGGGAAGTGGAAATAATGGATGTAATTATCACAAGTTCTGCTAGAAAACATGATAATGAAGTCATCATGTGAGTATTCATTATTAATTTATATTTTTTTAGAATTAGTTGTATAGTAGTTGTAATAGTTGTAAACTTATTAGTTATTTTCGATGTTTATAAATTATATACGTTATTATACTACGTACGATTCGCCTTAATTAGGTGATTTCTTTGCTATTTTAGTCCATGTCGACAATAAAAAAATGTAAAAAAACTGCGATTTTTGCAGTTTTGGATTTACATTTTTGAAAATCCCCTTATTAACCACGCGGCCCCTAACCTCAAAAATAATTTAGCGGAATAGTACACGACGCCATAACGTATTGTAATTTCTTTCTCTTCTCTAATCCCGATTCTCCAAGATTTCAATGAAATTTTGAAAATAAAAACAAATAAAGAAATGCTCAACATCATCTACATATCTTAAAAATCTTTTGTGAACATTTGACGTAAGTTTTTTAAAATGTTTAATGTGTTTATTCAAATAATGTAATGCGTCTATTGTTTTAAGTAATTTGTAAAATGTTTTGTATTTATCCGGGAAATCTCCTGATGATGTTACGATTAACGTGTCGAAACCGGTAGAGACAAAATAAATAAATGAATTCATTTGAAGTGCAAAAATCGCAGTTTTTTACATTGAATATAACATGGAAAGAAAATCATTAAATAATAATAAAAAAAAAGTTTGGAATTTTATATTTTTCTACACTGTTAATGAAATGCTTTTAAAAAACGTATGTTCAAGGTAAATTCTGTAAAACTATCACATTTATGACACATATTACCTGAATTCCGGATTATTTAAAATCATTTGTTGATTGTTTTTCAACACCCTTCCGAAATAATCGGTCACCAAAATTCCATTTCGACATAAATCTATCGTTGGTTGAATTAATTTCTCCCAATTCAAGACTCCGAAGCGTTGATGAGCCGCCCAAAATCCACGAAGCTCTCCGGGAACTGCGATTGACAAACCCCCTGGGTAGCAAAAATAAAAAACATAATTCAAAATCCCTACAAAAACTTGCATTTAAAATTAAAACCTTTTGATGACAAAACGGGATTTCCGTCAAACATATCTTCGTATGCGGCTTCCGGCGCGACTTCTCGGGCATTTAAGAAGTACGCGTTTCTTGTCGATTTTTCATAAATGGTCATAAAAAAACCGCCACCCAATCCGGTACTTTCCGGGATAGCTACTCCTTCGCAAAGCATTGCGGCAATTGCGGCATCAACTGCTGAACCACCGTCTTCTAAAATTGATCTTAAACAAATTATAAGATATAGTTATGCTAGTGTAAGATCAATATGAATTACAACTAAAATTACGAAGAAACAACTTAGTTTAAATACAGTATAATTTGTAAGTTATTGTTGAATTTGTAATAACTATTTGTGTAGTTAAATTTATTTTTTCATTGACGAATTTCATAAAAATGTAATGCATTCACCAATGGCACTTAACTTTCAGCATAGACCACCAATCTAAATCCAAAAGGAAAATCAATTAATAGAGGCAAGAATATCTCAGCAAGGGTTTGTTTCATTAATTAAACAGATATTCACTTCTAAAAGGCATCGAACTAGCATGGAAGAATATCCGAAAACAAGAATAGGCACAAGAAAAGCAACTATGCGTTTAACCTCAGTTTAAACAAATTAAGTTGATAATCGGCAAGAATGACGCACCGAACTAAGAATTCATGAAGTAGTAGAACCAATTTTCCCTTATTCGTAGGAAAGGTAAGAAACAAACTATACAGATCGCATCAATAATTGCGATTATCATCAATAGCAAAGAAGCATTCAACATCCAGCAAAATCTTAATGAATAGGCGACTTTACTGTCAAGAATAATATAGGTAATATTGTGAAGTTAGGTCATATCCGGTAACTAAGATAATGAACATGACCAATTGATAGAAAAAACTAAACAAGACCAGCCTATGTCAAATTGAAATTGCAATCAAGGGAGAGAATGAGTTTAAACGGAATATTAAAACAAATCCAAGAGAACCTAAGACAAAAGCTGGGTTTAGACATGCATGGATTTAGTGGCGCCAGTTGTTGCGCCAGTTACATGTTTTTAGACTCATCACTGGCGTCAGTGATTTCAGAAGGGTGCAGACTTTTCTCGATCCATGTATGCATATTTTCAACTTGCATGCCAGTTGATGTTTACACATGCAATTTAATTTTACTGGTGCGCCAGTTTTCATTGGCGCTACTAAATCCATGCATGTCTAAACTCACTATTAAGACTAAGAAAGAAAAGACATTCATGTAATGGGACAGAATGTAATCATGTTACAATTAATATCAGTTCGACTTTGTTGCTTGCAGAGACCGGTCATTTTCGTTTTTAGCGTTCTGTTAACTGATAATTCGTAGTTTTGCGGTAATTTTTTATTAATAACTAATATCAAGATTACCGAAAGAAAGACGGTTCTGTAACTGTTTTATTATTATATTAACAGTTTGTTTTTTTGTATCAAAGACAATCTAACTTTTCTTTTTGGTGAAAAAGTTGTTTTTAACGTTTACATGTCGTCGACGCGGCGATAAGGTGAGGAGAAATAGCGCGAAGAGTGCCGTGGGGATTCATTTCACCTCACGAAGAAATCAGTCGCGACGCTGCTTGCCGCGGAGGCCTCCTGGAGGTGCTCCGTTTGTCGCTCACCGCCACAGCCAGTGGTTCGTCGTTCCTCCCTTCTTGCACGTTATGTTGCTTTGTCTTCGGCTTTGCCCTCGACAATGACTTTAGAGGCATTATCCGACATGATACTGAAAATACGTGGTGAAATGCGCGTCAAACATGATAAACTCCTTGAATCTGTTAATTTTTGTAGTAATCGTGTGTCCGATTTCGAAATTGCCATGAAAAGGATGCAGGGGCAGCTGGCCGTCATCGAAGTTCTCAAGTCTGAGAATCATTCCCTTAAGGTGTCTGACTTGGAGCAGTACTCACGTCGTAATAACATTGAGATATAGGGAGTACCGGAGAAGAATGTGGAGAATCTCGTCAACACCATGAGTGCGATTGGTGATTTTCTGGGCGTGGCTGTTACTGCATCCGACATTGATGCTGTCCATCGAGTGCCGCATGGTCCGGGTGATGGTGATCGTGGTCCGAAGGCAGTGGTAGTGAGATTTTGTAGTAGATTACGACGTGATCAGCTCCTCGGTGCTGCTGGCGTGAAGAAACGGGCGCTTCCCGTTGGCATTACTCGGCGGCTGAAGATTGTCGGGGTTGCTGATCAGTGTTTTATAAACGAACACCTTGCTCCTTTTAATAAGGCATTATTTATACGGCCCATTATTCTAATGGGTATCTCTCTCGGTTATACCTAGACCTGATTGGTTTAATTGTGTGGACGCGGTTAGCATTGCGCTTCGGAGTCGCACCTGCAGTGTTCATGTGTGCTGTGTCTACATACAGCCGAACAATAATACAGCATTATATGATTTCATTGAGGAGCTGACATCTCTTGTTGAGTGTTATCCCAACGATAGATTTCTCATATGCGGTGACTTTAACTTGCCTGAAATTCAATGGAATTTTGAAGCATCCACTTTCGCCTGTTCTGCTTCTCGTGCTAACTCTGTCCGTTCAGCTGATTTCTTGGACGCTATTTTCTTGTGCGGCCTCACTCAACATAATCATTTTATTAATGCGTTTAATAATACACTTCATCTGGTTTTCTGTAACTTTACCGGGATTACGAATGTTAATTTAAGCAACTTTCCGCTCGTACGAGAGGATGTCAGTCACAATACTCTTGAGTTTCAAGTCACATTGAATGTCATCCGGAATGTAGCTGAGCGAAGCATCCAAAACTACAACTTTCATAAAGCAGATTTTAACGATATTAACAACTTTTTAAATTCTGTTTCTTGGGTGGATGTGTTACACAAAAGCACAGTAGATGAAGCCACTGACGTTTTTTATTCAGTTTTGCGATCTGCAATTGACAAGTTCGTTCCAACGACGAGATTAACTGTTAGCGGGTATCCTAATTGGTTTTCTCCTATTACGGTTAAAACTCTTAAAGCAAAAATGAGAGCACACAAAAGGTGGAAGCGATTTGGTAATCGTGCTGATTATTTAACTTTTTCATTGCTGCGGGGTCGGGTTAAATATTTTATTGAACGAGATCATCAACAATATATACAGCGAACTGAATCGAGTATTTCAGCCAATCCCAAGTATTTTTGGTCGTACATGAGACGTAGGAATTGATCGTCTGGGGTTTCCGGGCGAGGTAATGTTGGGTGATACCATCGCTTCCGATGGTCGGTCCGTTTGTTCACTTTTCTCTCAGTATTTTTGCTCGGTGTCTGCAGCACCATCCGTCGGTGTTAGCGATGACCACATTTCGAAGGGAGCATGTTCGTTAAGTGCTGTTCGGTTGGATTTGGTGGAGGTTGATGAGGCTTTGGCTGAATTAGCAGTTGTTAAATCCAGTACCCCTAGATATAATCTTTAACTTCTCTTTAGAGCAGGGTGTTTTCCCAACTGTCTGGAAGCGTGCTCGCGTTCTGCCGATATTTAAGAAGGAAGATCGTAGTGATATGACCAATTATCGACTAATATCATTGCTGCCTATCTTTAGTAAAATTTTTGAAAAATTAATATACAAACGTATATGCTTTGCTGTCAAAACTATGATTGATCCAAGACAACACGGCTTTTTTGCCGTTGAAACCAACATGCTTGAGTACACTCACTACGTCACCGCATCTCTGCATGATTTTTATCAAGTTGATGCGGTTTACACTGATTTCACCAAAGCATTCGATCGAGTCATAATTTATTATTGAGTAAGATGGCAGGTTTTGGTATTGGTGGTCGGTTGTTGGCCTGGCTTAGGTCTTATTTGAGCGGCAGAGTTCAGGTTGTCTCTGTTGGTGGGTACTGCTCTGAGGAAGTTGTAGTGTCTTCGAGTGTGCCACAGGGGAGTCATCTTGGTACAGTTTAATATGTACATTAATGACATTTTCAGTGTCATTAGGTGGTCAAACTGTTTAATGTATGCCGATGACATCAAAATCTTTCTTCTTGTTTCGTCACCCATGGATTGTTCCAAGTTGCAGCACTATGTTGATAACTTGGAGCGATATTGCCGATCAAATATGTTAACATTAAATCCTTTAAAATGTAATGTAATTACTTTGACTCTATTGTGTTGGTTGCTGCTATACATAGATATACATAGTTCATCTCGCTCTTTACGTCACAAACACTTATTCTACACACCTATACCACGCACAAATTATTTTTATAACTCACCGATTTTTCGTATGTCGCGGGCGTCCGACTGTATTGATGTGGACGTATTTTAGCATCCGTATAAGAGGTTCAGGAGCTTGGTCCTCTCGGCGGTCCGTGCCTTGGACGTTTGATGATCTTTTTGTTTTTTCGTTAACTTAATTTTGGGTATTATCTTCTGTTTTTCCCCATAATAATAATAATGGTAATCTATTGTGTATATTATTATATATATATACGGTGAAATTCCCCTAACTCGAACTTCTATATCTCGAATTATCCTCTAAGTCGAATAATTTTCGGAAGCTCAAACGTTTCACTAGGTTTCATATGTTGTGTTTTTATCTCTCTTAGGCTCGTTACTAACATCTTCTGGTTAAGCTATCTAAGGGATTATTACCACGGTTACGGTTATTTTACGCGTTCTGATTGGCTAGTAGATGGGTTTATCTATAAGATAAATTTAACTAAAAGATAGTAGTAATGGACCTTAAGAGCGCGTAAAATAGTCATAACTATGGTAAGAATCCCTTAGATAGCTTAACCAGAAGATGGTAGTAACGAGTCTAAGGTCCATAACTACCATCTTTTAGTTAAATTTATCTTATAGATAAACCCATCTACTAGCCAATCATAGCGCGTAAAATAGCCGTAACCGTGGTAATAATCCCTTAGATAGCTTAACCAGAAGATGGTAGTAACGAGCCAGGTCCATTACTACCATCTTTTAGATTAATTTATCTTATAGATAAACCCATCTACTAGCCAATCAGAGCGCGTAAAATAACTGTAACCGTGATAATAATCCCTTAGATAGCTTAACCAGAAGATGGTAGTAACGAGCCTAAGTTAAATTTCACTAACTCGAATTTTTCTGTAACTCGAACTGCAGTACTATGGAATTTCTTCAACATTTACTTCTATAAGTCGAATTTACCAATGAACAAAATATTCGAATCCGTTCTGTAAGTAATTTTAACTACAGAATCAAACCACATAGACTCAGGCTCAGAAACTACAGACTCTTGAACCAAAACAAACCTAATGTTCTTATTGTTTCAGAATCAAATGAGGGTGATGACAATCTTGAAAATGAAATACTTATCGCTGTGCCTACATTTGATGAAGCTTATTCCTATCTTAGAAAGCTTGAAACCTTGGTATTATCAAGAGAAAATGTTTTAAATAATATTCATAATTCTTTACATTTAATAGAAGATTTTTCGACAAAGAGCGATTGTCCACTTTAAGCCAAAAGAAAATTACGGATTACTTTAAAAAAACTTGATTAATTTTCTACTTACAATACTATTAAGGTTTCTGTTTTAAATATACGTATTAGAAAAGTACATTTCTAATGTTTTTCATTAGAGCTGAAATTCTACTAATTTTTCTCTAACTCGAATTCTCCATAACTCGACGTTTTCTTCCGCTCCCTTAGTGATTCGAGTTAGGGGAATTTCACTGTAGATATATATATATGTATATATATATTTTTTATTTGCTATTGTTTGAATTATTTTTGATTATTGTTATGGTTTTGCTTTTTATTCTTGTTTCTTTTATTTTCTGATTTTTGAATTATTCAGTTTAGTTAGTTTATTTAATTTATTGTCACAATGTCGAACAATTTTGTTATTTTAGTGTAACAATTAAGTGGTACAATGTTTTAGGTTTAGTACCTGTTTTGTACCCTACTGATAACTAAATAAATAAATAAATTTAAAAAAATGGTATTTTCGATACACAGGGGGGCTCGCAAATCCGAATTAATTAAAACACAGAAGATTTGGATTATTAAAAAATTCGGAAAATAATTTGAAAATTGCGTTTCACACTGTTAAACACTTATTTCATCTGTCAAAATAAAAAATAAATACATAAATAGATTTTCAAGAAAGAAAGTACATACATAATACATTTGTTCAATCCTACCTTCGAAATCGTCAGTTTCTAACTTGGATACGAGTGTTAAATGTTGTTATTTGCATTCACTCTGCTGACTTTCATAGAAACGAGTGACCGAAAAATTTTTTCACTCACTCTAATTTTTATTAATCACTGTTAGCTAAATATAAAACCTTTAAAGGAACAACTCTTTGTTTAAACGTAACATATGTTAACTAAAAAACGGTGGACAGCACACGTGAAAAGTTAATTAAGTATTTCACTTCTATAAAGTATTAATTTTAATCAATTTATTAATTTTATACATAATGATGACAATTAACAATTTGACACAAATGGTTATTTATATACAGGTTGTACAAAAAGTATGGAATAATAGTTCTACAGCCTAAACTTCAACTTATATTAAAAAAAGTTTTAAATAAAAGTTACTTGAAACTATTTTCCGCATATCTTGGCGTAGAAACAAAATAAAACTCTTGACGGCAGTCTGAGTTACGACATGGTGAGTGTGTTTTTTAAATGGAACACCCTGTATATTTTAAGGTTTTTGGATTCTTTTTGACAAGGTGTTGCAAAATGCTATAAGGTTTTAATGCTTTAAACTGCATAGTTTTCGAGATATTGAAACTTTTATTTAAAAAGATTTGACGTAGTCACAACCAAATTATGGTGTCATTATAGAATAGACAACCTAAGCCTTGACATCATACTGATGGGCGGAGCTTATACCGACTCCAAACATCTTCGTTGCTAACGATAAATCCCCATATTCAATTTTTCAATTAGTGTTAAAATAACATAAACTAATTGTAAGTGACATTTTAGATGACATTTTAAATGACATTTTTATGGCGATTTATCTTAGCAACTGTGGTTAGCAACGAAGATCTTTGGAGTCGGTATAAGCTCCGCCCATCTCTGTGATGTCAAGGCTTAGGTTGTCTATTCCATAATGACGTCATAATTTGGTTGTCGCTACGTCAAACCTTTTTAAATAAAAGTTTGAATATCTCAAAAACTATGCAGTTTAAAGCATTAAAACCTTATGGCATTTTGCAATACCTTGTCAAAAGGAATCCAAAAACCTTAAAATATACAGGAAAATAGTGTCAAGTAACTTTTATTTAAAACTTTTTGTAATGTAAGTTTAAATTTAGGCTGTAGAACCCTTATTCCATACTTTTTGTACACCTGTATATCATTTAAGAGCATGACAATCAATGACAATGTCAAAAACTGCTGTCGTCGCATGACATGAAATTACTCAGGAATTATTGAATTTTGAGATGGGTTTTCTCTAAATGGTAGGATTGAACAAAACACTATACAACACACGTGGGAAACTTGTATTTTCCACTAACTTGTATGTCTTTCCAATTTCGCGCCGCCATTACTATGACATGATCTATAGGACGAACCTTTTCCAAAAAGGTATTACACATTAAAATCAGACAATTAACAAAAAAGTTATATTTATGGGTATGATTGTTTATAACGTTTTTACTCGTTTAATTACCGTTATTGTTAGAATTTTGCGCCGCCATTACCTATATTTACCTATATGATTTAGCGACGACCAAAATTCACTTTTGTGTAGAAGACACTATACGCGTTCTGATTTGGTAATCATACCTGATATTATGTTAATTAGTTTTCAATTTTTGGGACACTAAATTTAGAGATTTCACGAATTTTCTTATATATTTTCTGTTTTTCGCGGAATTTAAGGTGTTCCCGCCCAAAATCTGCGCTGCCAAAACTATGTTAGGCCCTACTTTACGAGATCTTTCTAATGAGCTATTAATCTTTAATATCGATACACGAACAAAAAAGTTTTTTTGATGGATAGAATTTATAGGTAACTTCACACGGCTGTTTTCAGATAATCTTTATAAATTCCCAATACATGTTTTAATGCATCCGGATAGAGTGGTAAAGGATGCTTCACTATATGATCTGATTCGGTTGAGTTTGTTATTTTTATAATTTTTTAATCACGAATTCATCGAGATAAAAATCGAAAATATCGAATCGAAAATAAAAATTGCAAAAAGAAGGTTATTTTTAAACATAGATTGTCTAACGCGTTTTCTAAGAATCGATGAATCTTACGTAAAAATGTTCTATTGAAAAAATATTGTGGCTGTTAAAAAACTAGACTTCCCCATTCTATTTACTCGGAATTGAAATTATAAATCTATAATATGTTTCTGTTTTTTATTGCCACAATTCAAACGTATATCGATTTGATTTTATCAAATATGTCGATAACAAATTTGAATGAAAAAATAAACAAGAATTGGGTACGCTTTTTTCAATGTCAACGTTATTTTTAAGTTTATAGATATCACTTATGGAAATGTATTTGTTAAAATTTTTTAAATAAATTTAAATACTCACTTTCCTATGTCTGCACATTCATGTCCATTCGTTACTACAGCTCCTCTATATCCAGTTCCTGATAAAACGAGTCTAATAAGTAGGAAAGTACTTAAAATAATAAAATGATTTTTCCTAAAGCCAAAAAAAAAAAAAATTAAAAAGATCGATAAATATCAAAAAATAATATTGAATATTCATTTACTACTTACTTTAATATGTTTAAAATCATTTTTAAAATCACTAAGAAGAGAAGTTTATTGATATTTTATCTGATCCTGCTTCTATCAGTTCGTTATTATTAGTAACATCGAGTATAGCCCGATTTGTTGCTTTTTATAGCATTCACCACCCAATGCTATCTGCAATCTTTTCAGTACTTGTTGATGTAATTGAAGTATTAATGTAATTCATTGCTTAAGTATGTTTTATTTTTTAAGTCGTTTATTTATATTTTAAAACTGCTTTACGATATAAACAAGTCAAATATTAAACAGCTCCAGTATCAAAATGTTAGTGACGGTTCAAAATAAAATTAAATTAAAAAGATTTTCATCTTGACTTAAGACATGAAATGTACGAATGTGGAGCTTTAAACTTCAAAATAGCGTAATGTTACATTTAACGTCAAATTGAAAAATAAGTTGACATTTATCTACATACATTATGTTAAATAAAGATTTTACCTTATAATTCACGGCATTTACGAAAATTATACCAGTGGATGCTTACCGGTAGATGCTCGGCACTTAAATGAAAGTGCGGCGTTTTGCTTCGGTTGGGCCCGTTGACACATTTACGAATGTTATTCCAGTGACATGAACCAAATAATTTCTAAAAACTGACCTTTAACGTTTATGACATATATTTAATTATTAACATATTGTTTAGACCGTTTTGTTACAAAAGATTAGAGTTTTGAGAAGTCTCGATAAGTGTCTAAAAGTACTTATTGATATATGAAAAAGGAAGTCTTTTTTTTATTTTTATTAAATTATTTTATTCATTACATTTTTAATTCTTTAGAAGGCAACTGGCTCTTTGAATTTATTTAATTTATATTATTCAGGTAGATGAGTATCTTGCGGTAGCTGACGTTTTAGTCGAGTGTGTAGATTTCGTATACACAAATTGTATTCTCTTGCGGAACCACAAGATTGAATTTTTTGAAAGAAATTTGTTGTTATCCTATGTATAAAATTCGCAATCGTCTCTATGTTTAACTCGTTTATTATTTGTTCATTTCTAACAAACCAGGGAGCATCTACTGCTATTCTAATGACTTTGTTTTGTAACGATTCTAATTTCTTAATATTTGTTTTTGATGTATTGCTCCACACCGGGCTAGCATAAATGATTAGTGAACGGATTAGTGATTTATATAGTAATATCGTGCAGTTGGTTTTTAAGTTTGATTTTCAGTTTATAAGTTGATATAATTCACGTAATCTGTTGTACCCTTGATTTAGTTTGTAGTTGATATGTATACTCCATGTTAACCTTTGATCTAGCATGACTCCCAGATATTTTACTGCTTTGTCTTCTGGATTCCATTTTATTTCGTGGTTATTTATTGTTAGCAAGGTAGGGTTGAGTTGTATATTCCATTTATTCAGCCACTTAATAGTTTCGTTGAGTGAACTTTGCAGCTGCTCTATAGTTTCTTCGAGATCGTAGTTTTGTGTTAAAATTACCATGTCATCTGCAAACATTCCTAGACTGCTTAGCCTAGGTATTGGTATGTCATACATATATATGTTGAATAGCAAAGGCGATAAGGAACTGCCTTGTGGGACCCTGCTTTTACTTGTTTGGTCGTTGATGTATATCCATTAATACGTACTATAAAGGTACGGTCTTCCAAAAATGAGAATATTATAGCTCGTAGGTAATTTGGCAGTTTTATGTGATGCAGCTTGTATTTCAAACCTTCTAACCACACGCTGTCGAATGCTTTTGCTACATCTAGAAAGCCAGTCACTGTATACTTCTTATCTTCGTAATCTTGTTCGATGATATTTGTAACTCTGGTTAGTTGAAGGTGAATATGATTTGCGAAATCCAAATTGGAAACTAGGCAAGATCTTTAGATCGTCAATTATGTCTGATAGCCTGGTATGAATATTTTTTTCTAATATTTTGGAAAGAGTAGATAATAGGCTTGTTGGTCTGTAGTTTTGATATTCGTTTTTCTTTTTTCCCTGTTTTGAAAACATCAGTACTTCTGCTTTCTTCCATGCTATTGGGAAGTAGCCTAGATTAAGGCTGGTATTATAGATGTAGCATATTTGATTGACTGTCGACTCTGGAAAGTTTTTCAGTACTATATTGGGTAATAAATCGTGTCCCGAAGCTTTACGGGTTGGTATATATTTTAGTATTGCTCGTATCTCTTCTATCGTGATTTTCATTGAATTGTTGTACCATTGTGAAGAAACATTGATTACTATTGTCAGTATTTACCTTGAAGTTTTTTTCTAAATAATATCCAAAAGCTTCCACCTTCTTTTTATCCTCCTTCACCATACCTACTTCGGTTTTTAACGGGGGTATATCTCGTATTTCTAGGATCTTTCTGGTAGTTTTCCACATGCCCGGGTCGTTGGTATCAAATGTTGATAAAAATTTTGATACTTTTCTATACGATCTTGTTCCAATACTTTATTATTGCGTGTGTAAGTTGATTTATTTGTTGTTTTAGTTGAGGTTGACGTGTTAGTTGCCATTATCTTCTGATATTTCTTTTTTCTTTTATCATTTCCATGATAGACCTTGAAAGCGGATAGTCTCTTCTCATATTAATGTTAGGTGAGTTATTTATTGTAGACGTCTGGACCGCTTTTGCTATATTTTGCGTTAGTATTCTGACACAGGTGTCTATGCTTTCTATCGTCTGTTGTGGGGTTCAGTTTTTGATTGAAAGTAATTATGACCGGTAAGTGGTCAGACTCCAATTCATTAATTACTGATTGATGAATGAAGAAATTTATATTTTTCGTTATTACTACATCTAGAATATCCGGTTGATAATACATCCGGTACATGTACATTTAGTTGATATTGATCTAATCGTAAGATATTATTTAGATATATACCATTAGGATTATTTGCTCTGCACCCCAGAATATATATTTTACTGTTTAGATCTCCAATAAGGATTTTTCCATCATTGTTGTTACCAAATATTTCTCTGATGTCATTTTCCTCCAGGTTTACGTTTGGTTGCCGATATCCACATATAATTGTATTTTCTTTATGATTGTCTAAATATTTGAATATTGATATTGATACCTNATACCGACCGTTAACCGACCGTCCACCATTTACCTGGCCGATTGCATTTCGACAGGTAGTCGACGAAGATACGTTGGTTTTTCCGGCAAAATTCCGCATTTTGTTTAATTTTTATGCGAAAAACTAATAAACCGATATTTGATTGTGAGGTACCGTTGGATTCGTATTGTTTTCATCTTTCGGAAGATACCATAATATACTGGGTGTTCCATTTAAAAAAACAAAGTTGATCTATTTTCCGGAAAAACTAAAAGTGATGGCAAAATTTTCCATAAGAAAATATTTGTGCTGATAAAATATAGAAACTGACGTTTTTTTGTTCATAGTGATATCTCAATTTGTTCGGAAGTTAAACAGGGGGGGGGTTACTTTACGCTAGCACTGTATATGTTGAATAGCAAAGGCAATAAGGAGCAGCCTTGTGGGACCCCTGCTTTCACTTGTTTGGTCGTTGATGTATATCCATTAATACGTACTATAAAGGTACGGTCTTCCAAAAATGAGAATATTATAGCTCGTAGGTAATTTGGCAGTATTATTTGATGCAGCTTGTATTTCAAACCTTCTAACTACACGCTATCGAATCTGGTCTGTACTTTTGATATTCATTTTTCTTTTTTCCCGGTTTTAAAAACATCAGTACTTCCGCTTTCTTCCATGCTATTGGAAAGAAGCCTAGATTAAGGCTGGTATTATAGATGTAGCATATTTGATTGACTGTCTACTCTGGAAGGTTTTTCAGTAATATATTGGACATTAAATCGTGTCCTGCAGCTTTCCTGGTTAGTATGTATTTTAGTATTGCTCGTATCTCTTCTTCTATCGTGGTGGGGTCTTCGCATAATGTGTTAACCGGGAGATGATTTTCATTAAATTGTTGTACCATTGTGAAGAAACGTTGATTACTATTTTTAGTATTTGCTTTGAAGTTTTTTTCCAAATAATCTCCAAAAACTTCTACCTTCCTTTTATCTTCCGTCAACATACCTTTTCGATTTTTAACGGGGATATATTCTCGTATTTTTTAGGATCTTTCAGGTAGTTTTCCACTTGCCCGGGTCGTTGGTATCAAATGTTGATAAAAAATTTTGAATATATCTTCTGATATTTCTTTTTTCTTTTATCATATCCATGATAGACCTTGAAAGCGGATGGTCTCTTCTCATATTAATTCTTTATTATATTAATTCTGACACAAGTATCTATGCTTTCTATCGTCTGTGGTGGGGGCTATAACTAAAAATTATTCATAGTATTTTTAAAACTTTCCCAACATACAAATGTGTTGATTAGTCTAGGTATTTTAGGGTATGGAGTCAGTTCTTAATTGAAAGTAATTATGATCGGTAAGTGGTCAGAGTCCAATTCATTAACTACTGATTGATGAATGGGGAAATTTACATTTTTCGTTATTACTAGATCTAGAATATCCGGTTGATAATCCCTTCTGTCACCCATGATGTGTGGTGTGGTTTATGTTGCTGACGGAAAACGGAAGCACAGTCTACGGACTTTGGCGGAGTTGGAGTCCCTGGAATTACGCAAGGGAAAGACAGATTTGGAATCTGTTGAATCTGGTATGTCAGGAGTTGAAGTTGCCTTGAGATCAAGTTAGTTTTTTATTTTTCAGTGATTATTAGGGATAAACTTATTATGATTATTTTATTTTCTAATTGTATCTATAATTGATATTTCTTTTTCTGTTTAAGATTAGAGTTTATTTTTTTCTTAGTATTAGTTATTGATTTGTATCTTAGTAATGATTTTGGTATGACAGTTAATAGCAATACTGTTTATTGTTAAGTGGTTGTCATTGACTATGATCATTAGTTATAATAATTAATTTATTAGCTTGTTATTGTTATAATTTTGGTTCTTTTTTTTCTGATAGTCGAAGATAACTTTTCCGTTTTCCGTTTTAGATTATAAACTCTGTCACACACCTGAGAAGCACCTAGATTACAAATTACATAATAATTAATGAGGTTGGGACATTTGAACACTAGGTCGCTGGTTCGTCATTTTGCAGATGTAAGGGACTTTATAGTAAGTAAGAATTTTTGTGTTCTTGCAGTTACTGAAACTTGGATTCGTCCTGATTTTGATTTGAGTCAAGTTTCTATAGATAATTTTACATTTTTACATGAATCTAGGACGACTCATGGGGGAGGAGTGGGAATTTACGTACAATCTTGTTTTAGGCCGGTGTTATTGATGACAGCATTTACT